GACCTTCCCGCAGTGGATTGGGCTTCCATCTACTGTTGTGATGCGGAAGGGTTTCTTCAGGAGGTGGGTTTTGATATTGTGCTTCTTTACGAAGGTGTCACAAATAAATGTTCCCCCAGCCCCTGAGTCGATGATGGCTGTTGTTGCAACCATTTTCGTACTCGTGGAAGAGAAAAGTGTCACCGGGACACGGAATTCATTTTCTTTTCCTACAGTATGAGTACACAGGATATCTAAGGAGGGGACGCACGTTGCTTTTGCGGTCCTCCGCTCTAAAAATCCTCTTCTCCTTGGAGCCTGTTGGTCTCCATGTCGTCCTCGGAGGTTTCGTCGTCACGCTGGTCTCTACCAGTCGTTACCGGAGTCTTTCCTTTGGTATCTTTTTCTCTCCACGTCGTATCTTCGGGTGGAATCTGGGATCGTTGGCTCTGTGGCCATGCTCTTTGCATAAGAAGCAAAGGCCCTTCTTGTAGCATTCGTCTTTCTCTGCCTGAGAGAGGGTGCGGTCTACGTCCATAGCGTTAGGGTCTCTGGATGATGAGACATTAGGCTTGGGGTAGTACTTGGAACCGCGAGGGGCGTATCGGGTGTGTTGGTTGCGGGAGTTGGCAGAGACGGCCTTGCTCCTGCGGTAGTTAGCGTCGAGCTGTACCGCAGAAGTGTACCACTTTTCGATAGTGTCAGGAAGTGTCTCCTTCCTGTAGATTGCTTCGCGAAGGCTTGGGTTCAGGCCTTTCTCAAAGAAGTGTGAGAGTGTCACGCCTTCCTTGATATTGGCGATGGTAGCCAACATTTTGAACTTCGAGATGTAGTCCGTAACGTTGTTTCCCATTCTGAGTTCGGCGATTTCGGTGAGGGCATTCACCTGCTTATCAACGGGTTGAAATGCAAGGTTGAATCCTTTCTCGAATTCTGCGAACGTTCCGAATTTCAGGAGGGTTGGTGCTGAAAGCTTCTGCGATAGAAGTTATCAGCCCATGCTTTAGCGCTGTTCTTTGTCATTAATGACAGGGCGACAGGACACCATGATCTGCTCGCTGCAATAGACGGTGGGGTTGATGAGGAAGTACGTCTTTAAGCTGTAGAGCCATCGTTGTGCGTCGTCGGTGTTCCCATCATAGTCTGTTGGTGACCCTGCTTTGAGTTCAGGGGCACGAACTACGACGGCGGTGGAGGAGGATGGGTTAGACATTCTTGTCTTCGGATTAGGCGCTAGTGTTTCAGGGGAGGTACTTCGTCTGGAAAGTCCTCTTCAGAAGTCGGAGTGTTTCCTAGATCTTCTTCGTCGTTCAGTCCCTCGTCTGAGTGGTACTGCTCTGTCGGTGAGGTGGGAGAGCTAAACTGTCCGTCTACCTCTTCTTCGTCAGGATCTTCCTGATTCGGGTCGCGCTCCCAAGAGAACTTGCAGTGTCCAGGGAGTGGTCGTCTTGTATCTGTTTCTGTCCTCGATAGGTGTCGAGGGCTAGAAGGTAACTTGAATCTTTTGTTACGACTTGGATGGTATCTGTTGGCGACGCTCAAACAGAGCTTGTGTCGTCAACGGTCTGTGGACGTCCTTGGGCTAGCCCAAGGTTAGGGGTCGTACTTGGCGTGTCTTCGGCAAGTACGATTTGACGCCTATGTCCAAATCGGGTAGCTTATGTCACGCGGGTTGCGAGACGATAAGCTATATCGGCCTAGGCTTACGACACCCGAAGGTTAATCGTAAGGATCGTCGTTAATTAGAAGGACAGAAGTCCGACTAGTTAACAGGGGCTTTGTTCGTCGACGAAGTCGATGAGCAAAGGTCGAGACTATAGGCTTATCCGCGAAGGCAGATAAGAAGATAGAATATAGACTGCTGGCGAGGCAGAAGGATCACTCTGGTGAGAGTAGGAGGTCAAGAACCAAGTAGATTCAAGTTAGGGAATATGGTACATGGTAGCGAGTTTATATAGAGGACAGGGGACGTATTAGTGGATGATAACTCGTACTACTGGGAGAGGCAATCGTTAAAGGGTAAGACCATAATAGGAAGGCACGTTCGATCTAGGTAGAACGTGCTGGATAAGAAAGTGAGTCAAAGATCAGAATGAGAAGTGAAACACGCAGGGGCACGATCGTGCAACTGCGGAACTAAGTATAAGTCGCATGTGCGACTGCGCATCGAGTCAGAGATCAAGAAAGGAAACGGGATGCGTCATGCATCGTATCATAGGTTACCATCCAGATGGTAAGGGCAAGGGGACTGTCCGCAGGATCAGTCAGGTGGTGGAACGGAGCATGGGTATGCTTCGTCAGCGAAAGGATCCGGCCAAATGTACTGGCTTTGCTGAAGCGATAGGTAGAGGGCGAAAGGGAATGCGAGGATGACGAGGATGACAAGGGTGAGGTCGGGGTAAGGGTATGACGCGAGGGCTGATACGAGGAGGATCAGGAGAAAAATAGTAGGGGCCCAAGCGTCTAGATGTTCTTGTAACAACGGGTGGGCCGGCCGAGGGTACATTGTGTCACATACATGGGTGGGCCCAGATATATATTATCTTAGATGGGTGGGCCGAGTGTCAAGAAAGGTGGGTATCAGATAGACGGGTGGGCCAGCTGAGGGTACATGTTATCACATACACGGGTGGGCCCAGATATATATTATCTTCGATGGGTGGGCCAAGTGTCAAGGTAGGTGGGTATCAGATAGATGGGTGGGCCGGCTGAGGGTACTTGTTATCACATACACAGGTGGGCCCAGGGATATATTATATTAGATGGGTGGGCCAAGGGCGGTATATAATATAGACAGGTGGGCACAGGTGAATGATAATTGTAAAACAATGCAGTACTGATTGCCGAGTAGCTAATTTGGGTGAAGCATAATGAGTTCCTGCAGCTGCAGGTTCATTACTGTTGCATTGCTGTATGAGAAGCAAGGTTCCAACTACCGAAATTTGAGTGAAGTGTACTGAGTTCTGAGACCCGGGTGTCAATTAACAAATATCTGATATCCAGCACACCTCCAATGATTGGGTATTTCATTGAGCAATGGATGGTAATATATCTTTGACAGCCAACATCATGGAAGGTTCTCTTATCAGAACCTCATGTTCACCACCTACCAAATGCCAAATGCCAAGTTCCGACTACCAAAATTTGAGTGAAGCGTGCCGAGATCCAAGCCCTGGGAGTGGACAAACGAATATCTGATATCCAGCACACTTCCAATGATCTGGTATTTCGGCTCCCTTATCTGATCCTGACTATCTCCACCCCCTTTAACACCAACCTCTGGGCATCCAGCATTCAGCTTCTGATTTCCCAAGATTGACTTCATCATGAATGGTTCTTCCACTTCTGCAATTCAAATAAGCCTCTGGCACACTTGGGCCCTGACAGTCACTCACAAGGCATCTGAATATACTGCACAGAAATTCAATGCAGAGAAGACAGGAGGAGACCCGGTGATACCTTCTGCTAACCTAGACACTGATCTGGTGATGGCCTGTGATCAATTGGTAGATTGCCTCATAAAGGCATATGAAAATCCGAGTGGGTCTTCCTGCAGATTCGGAAAATTCATTTGATCATTCAAATTCCTTCATCGCAGTTCAGATGAACATCAACATTGGAAGATATAGCAAATTGATCTCCCCGAAGAACACCAAGCACAATGAGGAGAAAGAGGAGAAGTTGCTTAAGAGATGTCCTCCTGGCCATGAGGGGACAAGGTTTATGGACATACCCGCCACCATTCTAGATGTGTCCAGCACCATCATTGCATGGTACCTCCCAGATGCCCTGACAGCCGAAACACAGATGTGTGATATACATTGTTACTCAATATATATTAAATACAAAATGGTAACCACAGAAGGAAATTTGGGCAGCCACCGAGTTGCTGTCTCCGAGTCTGGAAAGAAGTGTAAAGGTCGATGGGAATTGGCAAACCAATCTGGAGTGGTTCAAACACCAATCAGAAGATGTTGGCTTACCTGCTGGGTGCATCAATTTATCTCCAGCATGGTTTCAACAGGGGCACGAGGTAGGATTTTATAGGATGATGATTTTGGTAGTTGAGCTCATCAATCCCATAGAATATAGCAGACCCAGAGGTATCTGCATCATTAAAGGGACCATTGTCCGAGGAAATCCTAAATGCCATTGTGAGGCCAGCAGCCATCGCATCAGCGGCGCTCAGGATCATGCATCCGGAGCAGTACTGGGCAGGGTTACGAACATTTTCAAGCCTCAGAGAAAAGGCAGAAAGCAAGGAACTGCCAAGAATGTCCAAGATCCTCCAGTACTGGGCATCCGTGTTTAACACATTATCCGTCATTTCCAATCGTCAAACCCCGCATCATCGAGACAATTTATCAATTCCTGAATGCTTCGATATTCTCACCACTGTGGGGAATTATTCTAATGCTTGGATGAGCATGCCAAGCCTTTGGCTGGAGTTCGGGTATGATCCTGGGTGTATGATTGGATTTTTCAGGAAGGATTGTCAGACATGGGGTTCATGAGGTGGAGGGGGATAGGGGTTGGGTGGATTGATGAACCCTACCACCATGTGGAAGATGAAACAAGTAGAAAGTGTAATTACCTGCTGTCAGTACCTGCTTTCGACTACCAAGTATGAACCATCTCTCTTGATGACACTCGAGGTCCAAAATCCATAGTGGATGCATACAATAACTGTCCAGAGCCTTCCGTGTCTCTTGATGACACTCGAGCACCAACACATTCAGCGCGAGGGAGTGGGGTTTCAGTTGTGGTGCGCAGTTACAAAAGGCTGGCCCTGGGTTGGAGTAGCGCAGACGATATCATTGACCTTACACTAGGCAATGCTAAGAAGAACAGTCTGTTGCAAAAGGAACCTACAAGTCAAAAGGGCACAGAGAAGCAAAGAAGTCTAAGTATGAATGCTGCTGTACAAATTTGAAAATGGTACTGGGGCGATGGCTATCATTGTATTCAGACTCAGATCCTATCAACAGTCATCAAGGCCAGGAGCTTGGTAACCAGGTCTCAGCACTCAGGTCTTGATATTTGGACCTCGGTAGTTAAATTCTGGGAGTTGGGAATTGGTAATGGAGATCCGGAACTCGGAGTTCAATATTCGGCAGTAAACATTCCGTACTCAACACTTGGAACTCGGTACTCGATGCTCAGAACTCGGTACCTGACACTCAGACCTTGGAACTTGGTAATCAGGACTCGATATCTGGAACTTGGAAATCAATATTCAGAACTCGACACTTGATATTTGGAGCTTGGTAATTGGGTCTCGGCACTCGGGCCTCGATATTTGGACCTCAGTAGTTACATTCCGGGAGTCGGGAATTGGTAATGAAGATCCAGAACTCGGAGTTCAATATTTGGCAGTCAACATTCGATACTCAACGCTCGGTACCCAACATTTCAGAACTCGGTAATCAGGACTCGATATCCGGAACTTGGAATTTGATATTCAGAACTCGACACTCGATATTTGGAGTTCGGTAATCAGGTCTCGGCACTCGGGTCTTGATATTCCGGACCTCAGTAGTTAAATTCTGGGAGTTGGGAATCAGTAATGGAAACTAGGAGTTCAATATACATCAGTCAGCATTCAATACTCGACACTCGGTACTCAACATTCAGAACTCGAAACTCGATATTCAGAGTTTGGTAATTGGGACTCAGTAATTGGGACTCGAAATCCGGACCTTGGTGGTCAGGACATGGTGATGAACATCTGCACCTGTTTATTTCGGGACTCGCCAGATAAAATCATGTTAGATATTGCAATGTTTACATGTGATTTTCAGTACTCATAAAACACATATGAGACTTGCACTTCAACATTTCCAACTGAGTGACTAGAGCTACTCTCCTCTGCCTCTCTTCAATCTGTCTAGCATGGCAGTGTAGATTTGTATCTCTGCCATCTTATCATGGATGCCCCCACGTTGCTCCTCAAGTAATGTCAGGAGGCGTTCTCTAATCCACCTCAGTCCCATCAGTGATGGAACTGAGGTATGATCCACCTGCTCCAGAATTGTCAGACCATCATTCTCAACACCATCCTAGAGCAGATCAGTCATGAATCAAGGAAATGGAATAAGAATCTTACCAGCCAATGCTGGTAGTGAAAGATACAGCAAGTCATCACCCGATCCCATTGCCATGGTTCGTTTCGGGATTGCAGTTTCTTCCATCCACCATGGGGTATCATAGCCAGATATGATCCGGGATGGATCTCTGGGATTTGTGATGTCATGAAACAAACAGATGTGATAGGAAAAGATGTGATCTGAAACCGTGTTCCAGGTGTGACCAGGAATCAAATGAAGAATATGAGCAATAGGGCTGGGAACGACCGAAATGATGTTCCTGGCAGCTGAGTACTGGAGGATGGGCGTGACAAAAGTCTGTGGAAGATGTCGGCATTAACCGCCAGTGTCGTCAGAGTCTTACAGTGATCTCCCATTGCAGCCTGGATTTGAAGTGCCTGATCCAAGCCAAAGGGGAAAGATTGTTGTTTGCAGCCTCCACCTGATATTGGGAGATGGATGCGCAGATGCACAATGCAGACATCGACATAGTAGCTGAAATGTCTGCAGGAGTGAGAGTGAGGGGCCAGTACTCATTGAGTGAATTCTGATTGTCAGAAGTGGATGCAGGAGAAGGATATAATTCAGGCATGGCTGATGCAGGAGTATCACACTGGCAATGACAATGACAGTTGGTTCAGATGTGAAGATATCATCCACTGATGGATGGATAAATTTTTCAAACTCTGACATGGGCTGACCTAGCTAATTCCTGGGACTAAATTTGTATATCGAAATGGTTGTTATATCCCATCGGCAATAAACCATTTATTCATCTCGGGAATCTATCAAAACTGTCTGCAGGTGTTGAAACACTGCCTGGGCGTCCTGCGCCAGCAATGAATACATTCGGGATTGCCTTCCAGAGTAGCATGCATGTGTTACAACTTGGATGGTATCTGTTGGTGACACTCAAACAGAGCGTGTGTCGTCAATGGTCGAGGACGTCCTTGGGCTAGCCCAAGGTTAGGGGTCTTACTTGGTGAGGTTTCGGCAAGTAAGATTTGACGCCTATGTCCGAATCGGGTAGCTTACGTCAAGCGGATGCTAGACGATGAGCTGTATCTGCCAAGACTTACGACACCCGAAGGTTAATCGTAAGATCGTCGTTAATTAGAAGGGCAGAAGTCTGACTAGTTAACAGGGGCTTTGCTTGTCGACGAAGTCGATGAGTAAAGATCGAGACTAAAGACTTATCCGCAAGGAGCAGATAAGAAGATAGAATATAGACTGCTGGCTAGGCAGAAAGGATCACTCTGGTGAGAGTAGGAGGTCAAGAACCAAGTAGATTCAAGTTAGGGAATATGTTACATGGTAGCGAGTTTATATAGAGGACAGGGAGCGTATTAGTGGATGATAACTCGTACTACCAAGAGAAGTAAACGGTGAAGGGTATGACCATAAAAGGAAGGCATGTTCGAGGTGAGACACAGGTGAGTCCTGAACGTGCTGATAAGAAAGTGAGTCAAAGATCAGAACAGGAAGTGAAACGCGCAGGGGCATGATCGTGCAACTGCGGAGCTAAGTATAAGTAACATGTGCGACTGCGCACCAAGTCAGAGATCAAGAAAGGGAAAAGGGCAAAGGGGATGCGTCGTG